CTGCTGAAGACCCGAAGTTGTGCTAGGACACAGGTACGTTTACCCTGTCTGGGCACGTAGGCTGTTTCCACTGTACGTATGGAAAATCTTCCTGACATGTTAGCTCTGCGTTAGCATATTTCTTAGTGAATCTACCATGATCCTTTTCTAGAAGAGTACAGAGAATCTGTGACTATCACTGCTTGCTGTCCATTTGTCACTTGGACAAAAGTATCGAGAAGGTGGCGATATGGATACAAAATCCTTCTTAACTTTTTCCAGGTGACTACCTGTTTCTGTCAGTCTAAAGATGATGGCCTTTAACTTGAATATTTTTCATGGGTGCTCAGGAGGCTGCTAGAGTTGAACATGTTTTTCTTTTCTGGTACTTTTTCTGCAGATCCTGTCTTTAGGTGCTGGCTTTGACTCTTTATACTTCCGCTTGAAGGACGCGGGTCTTCTGAGTCACACTGTGGTCTGTGAGGTGGATTTTCCAAATGTGGCATACCAAAAAGCTGCTCTGATTAAAGGAATAAAAGAGCTGTTCTCCCTGGTGGGAGATGCTGGAGGAGAAGAGTTAGGTATGTTGTTTGTGGAGGATGTCTTGCATAAGAATCGAAGGGAGCTTTGGCCTTTTAAAAATAGGGCATGTTGAGCAGAGGAACTAGATTTGTTCACAAGACAACTTTTGAATTTCTGAAAAAAATTGGAAGGCCTATTGTTTGCAAGAATTTGTTAGAAAAGAAGAGGACGTGTAGCTGCCATCATGGATTTGTCAGGATTAAATTATCTAACCAAAATTAATTTATTTTGGTGACTGTTCTTGAAATGCTGTGTCCCATTTTGGGCTCCCTAGTACAAGAGAGACGAAGACAGACTGAGCTTATCCAGTGGAATGTCACCAGAGTGATGAAAGAGCTGGAGCGCATTATTTGCAAGGGAAGAGTAAGAGATTTGTCTTTTTGGGTTTGTTCAGCCCTGAGAAGATTGAATTGGCTCTTACTCCAATCCTTGATTCCTTAATTGGAGAGTGTGGAGAAGATGGAGCCATGCTCTTTTTAGAGGCATGCTGCAGATGGATGAGGGGCAATGGTTGAAAGTTGCACCAAAGAAATTCCAATTAAGTGCGCAAAACTTTTGATTTCATTTTTTTTTCCACCATGTGGATAGTTTAAAAACATGAACAAGTTGCCCAAAGTGGCAGTGGAACATCCAGCCTGGGAAATATTAGAGCTTGACCGGGCAGAGTCTTGGGCACCTGGGTGAAGACATCCCTGCTGTCAGCTCACAGCAGCCAGGCCTCACAGCAGCTAGGTGACCTTCAATGGTCTTAAAACAACCTAAATTATAGGCATTTTGGATAGGGGAGAAGCTGTGACTCCAGATATTGTGATCCTAGCAAAGCTTTCATTGTTATGGTATTTGGCTTTCCTATATCCAAACCAGAGAAAAAATGATCATGATGAAACTACTGTAGAATAAAAGAGCTGAAAGGATGACTGTGCTAGTGGGGTAGTAAGCAGTAGAGCAGTGGCAAAACAGAAGGATGTAAGTTAAGGGGATTTTCTTCAAGGTATTTTTTTACTGTTCGAGATGGAAAAAGCCAACCAAAAGAAATTCAATATGGTGAACAGGATTATGATTTAAAACTATTTAAACTATTAAATGGTTTAAATAGCTGCAGGGATTGACTGGAAAAATGTATGATAAATTACAATAGAGGCATATACAAACTGTTACATTTAGGCTGCAACAATCAAATACTGGATAGAAAATAACTACAGAGAAAGGTGCAGAGCACAAGTCCCTCGCTGAAGTGAGCAACTGAGTGTACCAGTTCAATAAGATTGTCCCATCCCCCCTGAAACCAATTTATACCTTTAGTATTGACAGCATCCAGTGACAAAGAACTCTGTGCTTACCAATAATCTTAAAGTCATAAATCTATAGGCCCAGATGGCATGCACCCATGGGTGCTTCAGGAATTGGCAGGCATTATTGCTAAGCCACTCTCCATCATCTTTGAGAGGTCATGGAGAGAGCAGGAGAGGTGCCGGAGGATTGGAGGAAACGAACGTCACTCCAGTCTTCAAAAAGGACAAGAGAGAGGACCCAGGAAACTACAGATCAGTCAGCCTGACCTCCATCCCTGGAAAGGTGATGGAGCAGCTCATCCTAGAGACCATCTCTAGGCATGCGAAGAAAAAGAAGGTTGTCAGGAGTAGTCAGCATGGATTCAGTTTGCTGATGATACCAAACTGGCTGGAGAGACCGACACCCCAGAGGGCTGTGGTGCCATTCAGAGAGAACTGGACAGGTTGGAGAGTTGGGCAGAGAGAAAACTCATGAGGTTCAACAAGGACAAGTGCAGGATCCTGCCCCTGGGGAGGAATAACTCCAGGCACTAGTACAGATTGGAGGTTGACCTGCTGGAAAGCAGTTCAGTGGAGAGGAATTGGGAGTTCTGGTTGACAGCAGGTTAACCATGAGTCAGCAATGTGCCCTTGTGGCCAAAAAGGCAAATGGGATCCTGGCCTGTGTTAGGAGGAGTGTTGCCGGCAGATCAAGTGAGGCGATTCTCCCCCTGTCCTCAGCTCTGATGAGGCCACACCTGGAGTGAGTCGGGCCTATTTAGCCTAGAGAAGAGAAGACTGAGATGCGATCTGATCAATATGTACAAGTACTTGAGGGGAGAATGTAGGGAGGATGGGGCCAAAGTCTTTCCAGTGGTGGCCAGTGAGATAGGACAAGGGGTAATGGATACAAGTTGAAACACAGGGAGTTTCATCTGTGTGTGAAGAAGAACTTTTTTAGTGTGAGGGTGACAGAGCACTTCAACAGGCTTCCAAGAGAGGTTGTGGAGTCTCCTTCTCTGGAGATCTTCAAAACATGCCTGGATGCCACCCTGTGCCACATGCTCTGGGTGTCCCTGCTTGAGCAGGGATGTTGGACCAGATGATCTCTAGAGGTCCCTTCCAAACTTCACAGAATGGTTAAGGAACAGATCCTTTTTGAAAACAGTGTAGGACAAGTCATCAGGGTTGATAGAATCACACTGGTGGGGAGGCACAGAGCAGGCATAGATTTCTAAAGGTAGTTTCCAGCCTTGTTTGGTTTGTTTTTGGTTAAAACAAGTCATCTAGCATAAATTTATGATTCTTGTGGAGTACAGAAGTATAACTTGCAAATTCTCTCATGGCATAAGTTGGAGCTTATTTCTGAGAATGTGACCTATGTGACTAATACTGGTGTTTGCAGAAAGTTAGTATATGTGGGTTCAAGGTTCAATACCATATACAGAAATGAAATGTGTTTTTAAAGAAAATTAAGGACTTGAGAATGTCTCTGTGATTGTGATAAAAATCATTTAAATTCTGTCAAAGCAATGGTATTTTCCTTAGCCCGAGCTGCAAGAACTAAAAGTAAGAACTCCTAAGATTTCATTCTGAATTACAGTGGTGCTATAAAATTGCTGTTAAAAGAAATAAAGTGTTGTTACAGTAAATAATTCTATGAAAGATCTATAGGTGAAATTTTCATTAGGATTATTGGAATGTGAGTTCTAAGTTTAATGGGCCTCTAACTGGTCCCTCTTGGTGCTGTTCCTCTGTGTTTCATTTAGAGAATTTATTTTTATATTCTCAAATAGTCAGAGTGAGGAAAGGATGGGCAAAGCTGTGTGAGCAATTGCTTTTGGGCTGATTGTCCTGTTTGTCCATCTTGCTTTTAGTGTAGCATCAGCACTGTATTACTGTACCTTTTTTTTCCCCCAGGAGCCATTGCCTTTTCTGGAAAGGATTATAAGTTACTAGGAGTAGACTTATCAGAACTGTCTAAACTGGAGAAAGCCCTGCAGGAAGCAGGACTGGACAACGAAATCCCCACCCTTTTCTTAGCAGAAGTGGTGCTCACCTACATGGAAAATAGCAGGTCAGTTGAATTATCCTCTGTTATCCAGATGGTAAAGGTGGGAACAAGCTTCATTGTATGGAAGTCCCATAGGGCTGTGAGACCTGCTGTTTCATAGCTAAAGCCTCATGAACATTGCGGAAGCCCAAACAGCTCCTTACAGCATAATTGTGATGGGGTATTTGGGGGGAAAAAGTCTCAAAATGGGGTGATGGGTGTTTTTTTCAAGTCTCTCTTCATTCTTGAATTCTCTCAGTGGTTGTGGGAAATGTTTACGGGTCTGGAGCACTATAGTGTTTCGCATATGTTTCTGTCAGGATGCCTTAATAGCATGCCTTCTGCTGTTGCAGGATGATGTGTTGCATCTGTCCATATGATAGCTGGGCCCACAGTTATTTTCTTTCTTATGCACAGGTCAGATGCCTTGATACAGTGGGCAGCAGAGCATTTTTCTCAGGCCTGTTTTGTGCTGTATGAGCAGATGCACCCCGAGGACCCCTTTGGGCATGTCATGCAGCAGCATTTTAGCCAGCTGAATTCTACCCTTCACTCCTTAGCACAGTACCCTGATCATGAGACACAGCGGAGGCGCTTCCTACAAAAGGTAAGTGCCTGCAGCTCCAGAGCACATGTGAAACCTGGATAACCTGGGAAAGAATGCAGCTTTAAATATCGGGAGGTCACAAGCTGTGTCAGTCACAGGTTGAAGCAAACAGGGCCAGGGCTGAGATACTGTCTTCTCTAATAGCATGACCAGTCACTTGAAGGTGCCTCCATCAACTTAAAACCTACTTTATGGTATGGGCTAAGGTGGGATGGGTTTCTCTGAGACTTTTAAAATAAGTGTGGCTCTAAGATCTTCAGAGCTTCGTAGGTTGAGATCCATCTTCACTCCAGAGTCTGGACTGCCATTTTTTCAGCCTTTTTTTCCTTAAAGATTCATGCAGATGCTTCATTTATGATCACTGTTTTCTTGTGGAAAGTGAGTCTCTATCCTTCTGGAAGTAATAATATGGGGAAATTTTTGTTTTAGGGCTGGAGTGAGTGCAGCGTCATGGACATGAATGAGTTTTTTACTTTTTGTGTTCCTGAAGATGAGCAACAAAGAGTGCAGGCTCTAGAGCCTTTCGATGAATATGAGGTAACTCTCACTCTCCTTTATTCTGCTGGTGAGCTGGCTCTGTTGGCACGAAAGGCCTGCAACTTTTTATGATTATAGCTCTTTAGGAGAGCTACTGGAGTTGCAAGTGAAATTTGTAGGCAGGAAGGATCTTCAGTTAGTAATGCAGCTTCCTGATGGCTCTATACTATAAAGGTGGGGCAAGCCGCAATGAAAGAAGCTTCCCATCTGTGTTAGCAATACTTTTTTTTTCCTTCCTCAGTGAGTGTTCTCTCAGAGAGACAAGTCGTAGCGTATATAAATAAATAAATAAAAGATGCTGCAGAGGCTGAAAGTTTGCGTGGTTTCAAGCGAAAATTTTCTGAATGAAAAAGAAATCCATTGAAGTTAACTGTACATGTGAAAGCAACACCTAGGTCAAGGTTTTTGACCTGCAAATGCTTGGAATCATACCTAAAAGAAGTATATGCCCTGGTCCTGCTCTCTAGCTTTTCCCTAGGCATTTGCCTTTGCCATTGTTGGAGCCAGGTTCTTGGCTTCAGATATCTTCTGACTCAGTTCAGGCACTGTTATATGAATGAAATTTAGTTACGACTTCTTGGTGTTTTGGTGTTAATTATTGGCAAAACTTGCAACTATCAACACTCTAGAAAAAACATAAGATCCTGAAGATTTCATAAGATCCCTATTATAAGTTTCCCTTTGGATCTTGTGATTTTTAGTCTAGAAATGTAACAGCTTGTAGTTTTAAAAGCTAGGTAATGTGCTATATTTATTTTGCTACCAGAAAGAATCGTCTCTCTACATGAATAGCAAAAATGTTGACTGAAATATGTTGACGGATTTGCAAAAGGATGCAAGAATGATAGTAGATCAGGGCAATTGCCCAAACAGTAAGAAAGAAAAGGCTTTTCATTTTGCTTACAGAGGAGACTAACAAGACCACAAGCCCAAATTCACAAATGTACATAAGAATTAGACATATGATAGCAAAGAGCTAGAGAGCTCTGCAATTAAGTTTCCAGACAGATAAAATAAGACCAACGTCTTAATGGACTTCAGCTTGGCAGAATTAGATTAGAAATACAAAGGAGTTGTTGTTGTTTTTCTGCTGAGAGTGACTAGATTTTAGAATAATTCTGAGAGAGACTTGGTGGATTCTTCCATTTTCATAAATTACATTAATTTTGGACATCGCTTTTCAAAAGATAAAATATTCTATCCCGTGGGAATAAACGTACTCAGTTTCCTAGGATCTGGAGAAGTCAGAGTGGATTGCAGTATAGCTGCTGTCTTCTTTTCTGTACAGGATTCTGCTTGTGCTCCTGCTACTGAGTGATTCCAAAGGCCAGCCAGGAAATCATACTTAGGTATTACAGACTCATCAGAGATTAGGTTGCTGCTTGGAACATTTTGGGCTGCTTTAGGATCACCTGCATTACAGAACCTTTAAGAAATATTAATTTCTCTGCTGTATGGTCTGCATGTGCATTTTCCACGATCAGAACTGGGATGCATAAAAGGAATTAGGTTCTAAAGAAAGAGGCATATTCTTCATGCAACATAAGCTATGGAACTCCTTATTCTTGCTATATATGAGAGTTGCTAAAAGCTTATGCGAGTTCCAGAGGCTGTGGGACAAATTCATGGAAGAAAATCCATCAAGGATTGTTCAGTACAAGCAAGAAACTTTTTAAACCTTTTTTTTTTTTTGGTGTTTTTTTTTTTTTCTGTTACTAGATGGCATGAAAATGAATTTAAAAGGCATGTGAAAACACAATATTATCTTCTTGCTTAAAAAAAAATCCCTGAGCCTTTATTATTTGAAGGCTGAGAGGGGGAAGTATTATTGCACACTTGCACTGTTCTCAAATTCTTCTTCAGGCTTCTTATTTTGCCTATTGTTGGAAACAGTGCTAGGCTAGGTTGATCTTTGATTTCATAACTGTGATTATTCTTACGTTCTTCCCACCACTTGTTCCAAGATTCTGAGTTTTTTCTTTTGCCTTGCTACAGGAATGGCATCTGAAATGTTCTCATTATTTTGTCTTGACTGCAGCAAAGGGGATGAAGCCTTCCTGGACTCCTTTGTTATTGAACATGGGAGGTAAATATTGACTAGCTATCATAGTATTCACTTCTTTATATGCAGCTTTCTTGGAGAGATTTTTAGGCGACAGTAAACCCTCAGGAAGGAACACACGGGATATTACCATCTGAGTAGGTTCATCCATCCTTCTAATGATTGTCCTACACTTCATATGAGGTCAGAGTCATGTCCTGACTGTGGTGGTTCCGATCAGTTTAATTGTTTCATTTTTTTTAACCTTCCAATCAGAATAGCTTTTCTTTCTGCTTGTACATAGAGCCCTTCAGTGCATGGCTGTAATGCCAGACTACTCTGCTCCTCCTTTTGTTGGGATGCCCCAGACTTTCTCTATTCAACTTACCTTTGCTTATCCGTGTGCAGGGGTCTGCTCTCTGAGTAAGTGTATTTCCTGAACGGGGAGAGGGAAACTCCTGCCTTAAGAGTCTGCATCAGTAGGAAGACATTCCAGACCAAACAGTTCAAGTTGATGACTTCATCATGTGAAGTAGAATTGTACACTGAACAATCTTCATTATAAGCAATATTTTCAGCTATGGCATATAAAAGATCAGCATCTGGAAATAAAATTTTGTAGGCATCTGGTCAAACAAAGATACAAAATCAGAAGAAAAGGGCTTGTACAATGTTGGTAAACTAGATTTTTGTGGTGAAAGGTTATGTTTCATAGTAAGGGATATAGCTTTTAGAAGATACTGAGTTTACTGAAGATATTGTCTTATAATAGGACCCTCAGACATTAACATATTACTTTTTATGCTTCAGAACTTTATTTCAATGCTTTTGAAATAAAAATGGGATCAAATTCCAGTGAGAAACTTGGATTTCAGCTGTTGATCCCTTTCCTATTTAAACAGTCAAATATTGTAATCTCCAGAAAGGTAATTGTACAAGAGGTGTTTCAACTATCTTGCTAAATTCTCTTAGCGACAATCTCTTAGCAACTCTTTGTCCCCGTTTGTGTCTTCCTTCCCCACCTGCATTAAAACAGGCTCAGATTTGTGTTAGGAGTTAAGGGAACAATAAGTAGAAGTTGACAGTAGCACCTGTGTAAACCATTTCAGTGTGATTCCTAGGGAATATCTGATTGTCTATATGCTATATCAGCTTGCTTCAAATTTTATTTTGGAAAGCTATACAGATTTGTTTTATACTTGGTTTATTTATCTTATATTTATTTCTTCTCATAGAATCATAGAATCACAGAATGGTTGAGGTTGGAAGGGACCTCTAGAGGTCCAACCCTCCTGCACACGCAGGGTCACCTAGAGCACGTGGCACAGGGCTGCGTCCAAGCGGGTTTGAAGATCTCAGGAGAAGGAGACTCCACAACCTCTCTGGGCAGCCTGTTCCAGGGCTCTGGCACCCTCACTGTTAAATTTTTTTTCCTTAAGTTCCTGTGGAACTTTTGGTGCTTCAGCTTCTGGCCATTTCCTCTAGTTCTGTCGGCAGCCACGAGTGAAAAGAGGCCGGCCCCATCCTCCTCACTGCCTCCCTTGAGGTACTTCTAGACACTGCTCAGGTCCCCTCTCAGCCTTCTCTTCTCCAGATGAACAGGCCCAGCTCCCTCAGCCTCTCCTCATAGGGCAGATGTTCCAGGCCCCTGATCATCCAGGATCTCATTGGCCTTCTTGGCCATGAGGGCATCTGCTGCCTCATGGTGAACTTGTCGTCCACCATGACACCCAGGTCCCTCTCTGCAGAGCTCCTGTTCAGAAGGTTGGTCCCCTGCCTGTACTGATGTCTGGGGTTATTCCACCCCAGATGCAGGACCTTGCACTTGTCTTTGTTGAATTTCATAAGATTTCTCACTGCCTAGTTGTCCAGTCTGTCCAGGTCCCTTTGGATGGCAACACAGCCCTCTGGGCTATCGGATTCTTTTATACTCATATTACCTTTATATGTAATCTTCTGTTCTTGCTTGTGTGATACTTAAGATTCTCTGATTCTTCTGTTTTGCAGTTCCTTGTGGTGATGGTCCTGTCAGAGTGTCTGAAAGTATCACTGTGTCAGCATGTGGGATGCACTCTGAAGCTGCTGGTCTGAGACGTTATGGTCACCGCTCTGCTCTTATAAAACCCAATGTCATTCTCACAACTGGAGGTTTTGGGGAGGAGGATGGACAGCACCGTCGTATGAGAAATTTCCATGTCCTAATTAAGCATGAAGGCTGCTGGAAAGCTGGCCATGTGAAAAAGGAGAACGGTGGTAAAATATGTGGTGAGTTCCTGTACCAATGGCAAGATGTTTCTGTGCTTGTAATTTAATGAAGTCTGGTGGGAGGTGTTGTCGCTGCAATTACACTGACAGTCAGAAATCTGAAGGTTCTGAATTTCTTGGGAGAAATATCAGTCCAAATCACGATGTCTTATATCTCTGCAGATGGGCGGTTGTACCATACTGTGTCATGTCTCTCGAACAGCCTGGCCCTGATGGTAGGAGGACGGACATCCCCGTCAAGCGCAGCTGTGGGAATGCTGTGGCTAAAGTTCCCAGAGAGCAGTACTGCCTTAGACTCACATGACTTTACAGTGGAGCTTGTAGACCTGCACACTGTTGCTGAACCAGCTGTTTTGCGTTGGAGACACAGTGCAACTGAAGTCATGTTCAGAGGTAGCCTGGAAAGGGTGAAAATGGGTGTAGGGCGTGTGGATGGGTGTAGGGCACATGAACGTATACAAATCCAGGAATTTATTGGTTACTTTGTCCATACATTTTGAGTTCTAAAAGGCAAATGGTTATGTTCTAGTATTGCTTTTTATGTAGTGCAGGCTGTACATTTAAAGTAGGTATGCTGTGTTCCTTCGTCTTAATAGCTTTTGGATGAATATTTGGGGAAGAGATATGACCTCCTTCGGATTCCCTAAAGTGAGAAGAATCTATTATGTTTTCTGAAGTCTTTGTTCCAGTGGTGTGTTCCTCCCTGCCCATTTAAAGAATCCAAACTGGAGTTTCATATGAATGCATTTCATTTTGTAATATCTTCCCAGCTCTTCTTACGCGTTTTTTTGTTAAAGTTCAAAAGACTTGTGACAGGATCTTCTATTCTACAGAATCTGACAAAAGGGAGAGACTGAGAAATGTCAGTTGAGTTTAGTCAACTGAGGTGATCTAACAACTGAGGAGGGTCGAATCAATTATCTAATTGTGCTATTAGTAATTAATACATGGTGCAGTCATTGCAAAAACTATGCAGGAGATGCCTGTGATAATGATTTTCATTGCGCATGAGCTGCAAGCTTGTTATGCTTTTTAGATGTTGAACAGGAATCAAAAGACACAGCTGTATAATACTAAAAAGATGATAATGTATTTTTGAAAATGCTGCACTGTATGCTTGCAGCTGCAGTTTGGATGCCTCCACACTCATAAACATAACCACCCACAAATGGAGATATAATATTAACCAGAAGTGGTTGAATGCAAAGCTATTGTTTTCAAACAAGTTCATGGAATGCCCTATGCAGGAGCCTGTTTTATGCTGAAGTATTCTGAAATACTGGTGGAAGCATTTATAGCACTAAAGGAAGTGAAAAAAATGCCAGGTCTGAAAATGCTCAAATAATAGCACTAATGCAAACTAAAAGATTAAATAACTGAACTATGAACTGTGATGACACTTAAAACTGAAATTAGAAAGGATCACAAGGTGTCTGATATGATACCAATTTTCTCATTTGTAAAATATCCTGGGGGAGATGCAGAGAGCTGTCAGTATGTGAGGTCTGAACTGGACAAAACTATAGTAAAGAATACAGGTAGCAATGTACAGTGCATTCGTTTATTATCCCTTTGATGGATTTGTCCATATTGCATTGCTGAAGGAAGCCTTTTGAAGTAGTTAGTCTGTTACTAAAGGGAGATCCAGTTAGTCCAATTTTTTCTGGATTTCCAAAAAGTTTGACAAGATTCCTCATCAAGGGTTGCTGAAGCTATGCAACTACAAGTTAAAGGGGCAAGACCTCACATGGAAAAACAATTGGCTAAATCACAGAACTATACTAAAAATAAACAGACAGTTTTCAGTGGAACATGCTCCTAAATAATCTCACAAATGCTTGTTCCAAAGCTTGTGCTATTCAGCATTGTTGTTAATGATCTGGAAAGCCAAGCCAGTAATGAGAGTTTGCTAATGATATATTTACCTGGGAAAACAGTGGGATCACAGTGCCGAATGAATGAGTATTAAAATGCTCAGATGAAACAATGCATCTGAAGTGGTACATATAGGAGAAAAGATATTCCCACTTCATTCATACATTGATGGCTTTAAGCTATTTCTACCAGCGAGTGAAACTTTATAATAATTAGATGCTTAAAAGAAAAACAAATTTGGTCTTAAGAATTTAGTGTCAACCTTTATTAGTAAAGGAACAAAAAAAGAATGGGGAATACTGTTGTGGTACTGTATGAAAAGTTTTGCCAATGTGTTAAACACCATATGAAATAGTTCTGGTCCCTCGTTCACCCACCTCTTTTTTTTAAAAAAAAAAAAAAAAAAAAAAGGAAATTAAAAAAAGATGCAAACTCCAGAGACAAGAACAGAGGAGCTTCATGTAAGAAATTACTTAAGTTAACTTGGATTGTTCTGACTGAGGGCGGAAGTGGCGGAGGGAAGGGGTGAAGGACAGGCTGTAACTGAAATCCACTAAATCATGGTTGGCCTGAAGAAGGTCAGCAGGTATTTGTTGTTCAGCATCTCCTCCAGGCAAGAACTGAAGAATTGAGTGAAAATGTCAAGAAGTTCAAGATCTTTCTTATACAAAGTGGTAATTGTTCTGTGAAACTCTTTATTGCAAGATGCTTTGTTTTGAAAGCTTACTTGTTTTGGAAGTGCAGACTGAATAGAATCACAGAAGAAGAAATCTCTTCAAGACTGCCAAATTCAAAGACATGGCATCTGTAAAATGAAGGCTCTGAAGCACTTAAATAGCCACTCCTGACCCCCGCTGAAACCAGGATATAGGACTCGATGATCTGATCTGTTATTGCCACAAAAAGATTTTTTTCTTACTGAAGCAGTAGGAAAACTAAAATGGTCTTTCAGATGTGTTGTTTGTTTCTTTTTTGAGACACAAAATGAAAAATGATTACCTAATCCCCAGTGGTAAATACTATTTGAAACATAGGGATTTAATCTGAGAAGACTGATTCTTTGAGATCCTTTGTGGTTAAATTGATACATGGCTGATTATATCAGAAAAGTCTCAGTCCTTCTTCTCTGAAAGATATATAGAGGAGTTCTCAGCTCTTTATCCCGAAGAAAACTGCTCAGAAGAAATGTTATGCTTTTAGTATCATTTTATAAATACTCAGTAGTTGTGTGTTTTGAATCAAGCATTGCAATGCAGTAGAATATCATGGCCATAAGGGGTGAAAAATGATGAATTTGTTAGCAAGTCATGGTGTTACTGAGGATGGAATTTGGGAGGTGAAAGCTGTTCTTTCTTGGAGCTAATTATCTTTTCTTTGAGCTGTCAGGGATTAATGGAGAGGGAGCACTAGTAGAATTACTCAGCAGTTGGTAGTCTAGTCTGGAACATAATTTGAATATGTTGAGCCATGTTTAATTAATAACATAATGTAGTTTAGAGTTCTGCCTTCCAGACCAAATTCTGTAATAAAGAAGAATATGCTAAATTAGATGAATAGTGTTTTATGAATAATACTTGCACTACAATGCAAAACCAACGCAAAACAAGATGCTGCAATACAGTCTGACAAAGATGAAAGCAATGCAAAAGACCAAAAGTTGTGTTGCTTGTGCAGTCCGTTATGAAGAGGTGAGCTGGCAGGGCATAGTGCAACAAATGAGTACTTTGGGGAAGACATCAAGTACACTCCTGTACGTTTTGCACCTGCTCTTTGGTGGCTACTCCAAATTAACTCCTACACACTTGAACTGTCGTAATGTCCCTTTTCTGAGAACATATACACATTCTAGTTGTCTAATGAGGAGTAATCTGTTTTCTTTGAATAAATCTATGTCATTATGCTGCTATGACTCATGTTTTTAAGTTTTTCTAGTTTTATTAGTTCTATTGGTCTCATCTTCCCTTTTTTTTTTTTTTCTTCTCTCCACTAGGTATGTTAAAATATATGATTTTCCTCTCAGTTTTGCATCTGTAGTGTGAGAGTTAACATTAAACATTCAATTGATACATAATAATACTAGTTGATGTTGGGGGTCCTCTGAATAATCACAAATGTGAAAAATACAGCTTGTGAATAAAACTGTCTTTTAGTCTTCTATATGTTATAAATGATGTACCTAGAACAGTAGTAATTATATCTCTGAAACAATTTCTTGCCTCTATTTCAGAAGTTTACAAATGCTCATCAGGTTGCAAGAATTCTTAATACAGACAGAAGTTTTTTTAATACAGTGTATAAATCTTCTGTCTAAATGGATTGATTTGTATTTCTGGTCAGCTTCCCTTAAATGAAAAGAAAGTATTTTGGTTTTGTGACATGTAAAATCCAAACTTTTCTGTTAACTTAATTATATTTTTCTGTAGGTGAAAAGTACCTGTTTATATATGGGGGCCGTACTGCTACGCAGCCTGTGCTGTGGGACTGGCATTTTCTGCACGCTGAAGAACTTTCCTGCTCTGTGGTAAGAATTCCAGGAGGTGCTGGAGAATAGAACTTGCCTCATTCCAAAATGTGTGCTGCCATACTGGAATCCCAGCTAAATTATACATATTAGTCATACAGCCATATTAAATTGTATGGCCTTGGCAGTGTATTTTGGCACTTCATGGTGATTAACCTTAGTCACCTTTTTTTTTTTTTTTTCCCCTCAGTGAAATACAGTCTTCACAGAATCACATAGTAATTTATGTTGGAGATCACCTGGAAAGCATAAGTTAGAGGGGAAAACTGAAGGAACTCCATGAGTCTGGAGAAGATTTATATAGAAACAAATCTTCAAATATACAAAATGAATCTGCAGAGAGGACAAAATGATTCTGTGTGTTTATTTTGGATAGGACAAGAAGTCTATGAAGAGGGCAACTTCAGTTAGTTAGACACCAAGAAAAGCATTTAACTGTAAAGCTAGTGAAGTGCTGCAAGAGATTGTCTAGACAGGCCAGAAATTCCTGTCATTGAAGACATTAAGCAACTATTAGACAACCATTTCTCTAGATGGTAATAGAGTTGAATTTGCCTTAGGAGAAATGGACTGACCAGGTGGCCTCCAAAACTTTCTCCACAGCTAATTTCCTATGAGATTTTCCTTTGAACCCCTCATCGTTTTTTTTTCCTTCTCCATGCTTGCATTGGAGATTTTTGTTTTGTCTGTTACTCCTACAGTTCAGCATTTTCTCTTGCTTGGGTTTGAATCACTAATGTGCTTTGCTAATCATTACATTGGTCCATGACATCGAACATATGGTTTTCAGTTGAATGTATTGAACAAAGAGCAGCATGTAGGAATGAAAGTAAAGGTACTTGTCATAAATGTGCAAAAATAAAGCTCTCTGACAGATGCTGTACATACTGAGAAACAGCAAAGTATCAAATATAGCATAAATGGAAACACTTTTACCTATCCTTCCATGAGGCTTATTCATTATATTCCCCTTGCCAATTGTCCTTATCCTGTAGCAGGGAGAAATGTTATATGCTACAGGAGATGAAATGGGGAGAGGTTATTTAAGAGCCCGGACAGGAAGATGGTCCTTTACTTTGCAAACTTGAACCTTGGACTTATATTTCTAGATTCCTGTTGAGGGTCCAGTACCGGAAGGCCGTCACTCTCATAGTGCTTGTACCTGGAGAGGAGGAGTGCTTATTGCAGGAGGCCTGGGAGCAGCTGAGCAGCCTTTAGGCTCAGTTTTCTTTCTCAGAAAGATTGAACATGGCTTTCAGTGGCAGACAGTAGAGATGCACCCTCCCCTTGTCCCAAGGTAAGTGGAGAGCTTTCAACAAGTGACCTCTTGGCCTGCCTCTAACTAGCACTCCTTACTAACAGAGCTCAATCTCATTTTGAACTTGCAGGTATTCACATACAGCACATGTGCATGAGGAAAAACTCCTACTTGTTGGTGGAGTGTGGTTTCACTCTTCCTCTGTGCCAGGCATCACTGTCATTGACTTAATGACTGGTCTTTGCACGGACTATATGATTAGTGTGGTAAGCACAGAAATAATGTTCTTTTCGGTTAAAAGGTGTTTTGGGAAGGAAGGTGGCATTTTCTTGGCTATTCCCTAAAAGGGAATAGAGAATGCAAAGGGGACATTTGTGACTTCTGTTTGGATGTAAAGTCTAATTTTGAAGTGCTTTGACCAGCCCAGAGAACTTAATATTGTTTTAACAGAGGGAAGGCAGAGACACATTCTATTTTAGACAAAGAGAGGAGAATGGAGGTGATTGCAAGCACTGTAATTTCAGCATGTCTGTGGTTGAGGAGAGTTGATCAAACAGGAGCATGAGTTAATCTTTATGAAGGTCTGTGATGTAATTTACTGAATACCTCACAGTGGAGTCTGTAGGGGCATAACTGATGCCTGAAGAACAGCAAAAACCGAGCAAGGCAATAAAGGAAATTCCATTAAAAAAAATACTATAAGGGTAATGGAACACTGAAATGAGTTGCCCAGAGAGATTGTGGAGTCTGCCTTAAAAAGCTCCTGAGCAACCTACTGTAGTTGACCCATGCTCTGAGGAGGGAGATTGGGCTAGGAGTTATCCAGTGATTCCTTCCATCCTAGTTATTCTGTGATTCTATTCTAGGGCTCTAAGAAGAATAATCATACAGGGGCTACTAGGATTTTGGCATGGTTGGGGCAAACTTAAACTAAAATTTGTTCTAAATTGGAATATGCCTCTTTTGTGAATAGCCCTTATCTAAGATGCTACTGCTTAGACCAAGTTTCTGTTGCTTGAAAAGCTTTTATCTTTTGCATACAATTTCTAATTTAGGGGTTATCTATACATCTGGATCCTACTCTTGGTGAAAGTTGCAGTTTTTTTTTTTTTTTTTTTATAATGGACACTGTGTGCCTCAGGCTGATCTTGCTGAATTCCCCGAGAGCATAAAGCATGCTTAAAAGTTTAGTTTCTTCTTGCTGTCTATAGCAGAAATTAGAAGCGGGTAATGTTGTTTAGATACAATAGGCTACTCCTGTTGGATACCCAGCCTCACAAATGGGTATTATGGTAATGAACTTCTATATAAAGGAATAAAACTACCTTTATTCAAATTGAGTAAATGGATGCTTGAGGATTGGTAGCTGCCTTTGCTCATTAATTACCTGTTTTGACTTAGGCAAAATTCTCCTGGTTTTAAAACCTGCCAGTACTGTGATAAAGGTGCCAATTCCCATGGATGTTTCCTACACAAAAGCAAGAGCTAGACTTCTTGTGCATGGAGATTCCTGATCCTAGCACACTTTAATCAGCAGGGAGTACTCATACTGAGACAATTTCAGTTCTCTTGATATGGGAATATGACCTTTGAGATTCCTGGGAGTCGACATGGGAAATCTTATTAACTTTTTGTAATCTTTTAATAGTATCCAAAATCTTTGTGCCATGCCATTAAGTAGGCCAGACCAAAGATCTAGAGCTTGCAGTGAGATCTTTTCCTTCAACATGGAAAGGAACAGACTGTAGGCATTGATCATACCCATACATTGAGGTACTTTTGTTCTTCCCATATCAGGCTTGTTCGTTATAAATAACAAATGAAAGACTCAGCATTGCTGAAGCTTATTTATAGAGACACAAAACAAAAAGAGCAAATCTTCTGGGGCAGAAGATGCATTGTTTCAAGTAGCTGAATAATTAGTGCAACTAATTATTAGACTGTTAAGTAAATATAAGTAGCCTCATGGGAAACATTAAGATATACGAACAGTTTCCTTCGTACCATGAGACATAACATAATTGGAAAAGAATAGAAATCTATGAAATTGAGTGTCACAGAAAAAGTGAATAGGTGATGACTGTTCATTGCTTCCTCTGATAAAAGAATAGTTCTCAAAAGAAGCTGATGTAGCATGTCAAAAAGTGCTTCTTTGTATGAATTATGCAATTCCTTACCACAAGATGTGAATGCCAGAGGATGGCATGGAGGTGTTTACTGGGCATGTTGGGAGGAAAGAAGAATGTTAAGGCCTAGGGAATACAAACACTTTCACTCTGGATTGAAATCTCTAAACTGTAAATTATTATGTTGCTGAGAATATTAAAGGCATATTTCATGGATTCCTTGTTCTTATGTATTTCTCTAGATACCTATTTTTGCCCACATTTTGTGGATAGGATAGCGGGCCTTGGACCATGTGTGGCTCTTTCTAACTCTTTAATGAAAGTATCGTATGGAATATCTGTACAGCAGTATATGAGATTAGCATGCAGTTCTGCTAAATCCAGCAGTGTGAGAATTATTGAAAGCCTGTATGTTCAAGGATTACCCCCTAAGTGGGATCCAGCTTGACTGGGAGGAACAACTGAAACAGATTTAACAGGTGCCTGACTGGTAAATTTATTCCAGTTCCCTTTGCTAATAAATTCCCTCCCACCCACAGGATGCTGGACTTCTGAAATATTCAGACTAGCCACTTATCCACTTATCTACTTTATGGACTTTGAGCACTTTGTCCAAGCATCCTTTTCCATTACATCCAATTCCCCATCTTGGTCTCTGTGCACCTCTCCAGTATGTGACTGGCTGGTGTCCCCTGGACCACATGTGCTTTTGTTTCTTAATTTAGAGTTCAAATTTCTCTGTCTTTTTTCAGGAGCATCTGGAGTGGCCACTAATGTTACATAATCATAGTAGTGTCTTTCTGCCAGACGAGAAAGAGTTGTTGCTCATTGGTGGTGGTGGGAACTGCTTCTCCTTTGGGACACATCTCAACGCAGAGCCTGTCTCCTTGAACCTCAGCAACATCCTGACCAGCCACTGACAGGAAACAAACAGGACTGAGCTGTGCTGCTGCACTATGATGAGACATTCACTTCTAGGTCCAAGAGCAGCAACATGTTTCCACAGCTTTTGAAAAGAAGGGATGAGGAGAAGGGATCAGGAGGGACAGTTAAGACAGCCTTGCTCACTTCATCTGTCTTAATTTTGTACTGCTGTTTCTGTTGGTAAAAATAAAATATCCCACAAGTAGCTCTGTGGTGGAAGCAGTAATCTTAGAGATAACATGTGGTGTTCAAAAGGAACATGAGCCTGCACAATGCTGATTTGGATATAAAGAGTTGCCAGTGAGTCAAAAGAAGTTAAAAGTGATCAATAAACCATAACTAATACCTGATTTTACATGTTCTCTTCTGCTTAAGATATGCAAACTCATTCCTGTGAGTCTCTTTGCCAGCAGCTCAAGCCCTCCTAGCTGTAGCCTTTGCTAGAGGATGACATATCAGTAAGTGGTGGGGAGGGCATGCAACATGAAGACATGATTAGGCCTCATCTGTAACACTTGATAGCAACTGCACATCAGGAACTGGAAGTGGTCCTAGTGATGATACTAGATTTGGAATTAAGTGGGTGATACTTTCAAGAGGCATATGGTTGTGTCTACACATTCTATACAGCAAAATGAAATCGGAGTTCAGGAGTATTTCTGTTTGGGGGAAAGGCCTGTAGGAAGCTACCACGGGAGAACTCCTTAAGGTATGAACTAGAAAATTAAAAAGGGAGATTTCTAAAGCTACTGAAGCATAAAAAATGACAGAGGCTGCTGAATGGGAGTCTCTAGACAGACTCAGTGCTAGAAGCCCGAGGTATACCTAAAGACTCATCTAACCAGCATTCTGCACAGAAAGACTTGAAGGCACATATGGCATCACATTTCTTGATGTATCCTTGATGAGCAGGAAAAGAGTACAGTCCATGAAGAAGCCGTGTGATTAGGGCCCCTAAGCTTTTTTTTTTTTTTTTAAGCCTCTGAGTGATCCTGTGCAACATGCTCTAGATCACTGTTGTGCAGGAGGATTGGCCTGGATTATCTCCAACTTTAATCATTCTGTGGCCAACAACTTGGACAAGCATGTGACTTGCTCATTTTAGTGATGTTTCTCTAAGGAAGCTTCTAAGTGTAGAAGGGGCCTAGTAGGGGGTAGCAAACAGGGAAGGAAAGAGCAAGGAAGGCTCAGGAAAGAGGAAAGGCTAATTAAGTGCCATCAGTACTTGAGCTGTTAAAGGCTGGGAAATTTGGGGTTGAGTGTATGTGTATATGAAGATATGAGAGGAGATAATGGGCAAGGAATAATAAAAATACTGTGGTTGAACTCACATTTCTATCTTGTCTGGGTTGCTGTGTGCACCCTCTTTTGGGGATATAGACACATCCCTGAAGCTGTAAGCATTCAGTCCTGCACATAGCCTTTTGGTATGTGGTCTCCAGACTGAGCCATGGCACGTCCAGCATGCTGGGGGAGATGAGAGCATGGCAAGGGCTAGTCAAGGACAAATGTGAAGGGAAGAGAGTGGGAGGAGAGTCTGAAGGAGTACAGAGTGTGGATTTTTCATAGCAGAAATTTTATAGTAGGAGTAGTTTCCTCCTTGTTTTTCACCAGTGAGAGTAGTTGGAACAAATCACAAGCCTAGTTGTCTTTCATTCTATCAGGCCTCATCCTTTCCTTGCACTTTTCCTGTTTTTTCTCTTCTTATCACAAGGTTCCCACTGTAGTTGAGAGAGTTTCTGCAGTGTTGTTCCATTCCTTATTACTACTGTCGCATAGTTCTGCAGTTGTACCTCAAGCCATGAACATCCTAGGTAATTGCCCATGGGTGGGCACAGAAGCATGTTCTGCTGTCTGAAGGGCTGTGCCATAGGGTCTCTGATGGCATGTGGTTTTTCTTCTCGCCTCTGAGCTCAGTTTGGGAGGAAGGGATGTCTGCAGGGCGGTTCCTGTCACTTGGCTGCCACATTTGGCGTGGTACAGAAGTTATCTTGCGTGGCTGCAGCTTGTGGGACACTGTGCCACCTTTGGAGATGTTTTTCAGGAGACCAATGTGGACATACTCAGATCTGATGTGCTAGTCCCCTCTCTGGTGTGGATGCTTCAGGGTCTTTCTGTCCTAGAGAGAAGAGAAGAAGCCTGGAGAGAGGAAGATTTGCCCTGGGTAGAAGAAGATTTGGTTAGAGAACACTTAGGTAAACTTGATACCCACAAATCCATGAGCCCGGATGGGATGCAGGCAAGTGCTGCATGAGCTGGTGGATGTTATTGCTAAGCCACTCTCCATCTTCAAAAGTTCCTGGAGAACAGGGGAGGTGCCTGAAGACTGGAAGAAAGCCAATGTCCTGCCAGTCTTCAAAAATGGCAAGAAGGAGGCCCTAGGCAACTACAGGCCAGTCAGCCTCACCTCCATCCCTCGAAAGGTGATGGAACAACTCATCCTGACTGTTGTCTCTAAGCACGTGGAGGACAAAAAGGTGCTCAGAAGTAGTCAGCATGGATTGACCAAGGGAAAATCATGCTTAATCAACCTGATAGTCTTCTATGGTGGAATGATTGGCTGCGTAGATGAGGGGAGAGCAGTGGATGTCACCTATCTCGACTTCAGCAAGGCTTTTGACACCGTCCCTCACAGCATCCTCTTGGGCAAGCTCCGGAAGTGTGGATTACATGAGTGGATGGTGAGGTGGATTGAGAACTGGCTGGATAGCAGAGCTCAAAGGGTTGTGATCAGCAGCGCAGAATCTAGTTGGAGGCCTGTAGCTAGCGGTGTCCCCTAGTAGTCAGTCCTCAGTCCAGTCCTGTTCAATTTATTTATCAATGACCTGGATGAAGGCACAGAGTGCTCCCTCAGCAAGTTACCTGATGATACGAACCTGGGAGGTGTAGCAGATACCCCAGAGGGCTGCACTGCCATCCAGAGGGACCTGGACAGCCTGGACAACTGGGCGGTGAAAAACCTCATGAAATTCAACAAGGCCAAGTGCAAGGTCCTGCACCTGGGGAGGAATAACCCCAGATACCAGTACAGGCTGGGGACCGACCTTCTGAACAGGAGCTCTGCAGAGAGGGACCTGGGTGTCATGGTGGACGACAAGTTGACCATGAGGCAGCAGGTGCCCTTGTGGCCAAGAAGGCCAATGGGATCCTGGGGTGCATTAAGAAGAGCATCTCCAGCAGGTCGAGGGAGGGGATCCTGCCCCTCTACTCAGCCCTGGTGAGGCCACATCTGGAGTATTGTGTCCAGTTCTGGGCTCCACAGGACAAGAGGGATGTGGAGCTGCTGGAGAGAGTCCAGCGCAGGGCTACGAGGATGATCAGGGGCCTGGAACATCTGCCCTGTGAGGAGAGGCTGAGGGAGCTGGGCCTGTTCAGCCTGGAGAAGAGAAGGCTGACAGGGGACCTGAGCAGTGTCTAGAAGTACCTCAAGGGAGGCAGTGAGGAGGATGGTGCTGGTCTCTTTTCACTGGTGGCCACCGACAGAACTAGAGGAAACGGCCGGAAACTGAAGCCCCAAAAGTTCCACAGGAACTTAAGGAAAAATTTCTTAACGGTGAGGGTGCCAGAGCCCTGGAACAGGCTGTCCAGGGAAGCTGTGGAATCTCCTTCTCTGGAGATCTTCAAACCCGCTTGGACGCAGTCCTGTGCCACGTGCTCTAGGTGACCCTGCATGTACAGGGGAGTTGGACTATATGACCTCTAGAGGTCCCTTCCAACCTTAAGCATTCTATGATTCTATGAACTGTAACATACTTGGCTCTAAATCAGTGCTTATTTTTATAGCAATGTAAATGCAGCTAGTTCAGCTTTTATGTGCAGATCACTAAATGTTTGCATACTAACTCCGTGTGAAAACTCAAAAAGGGAAAAAAAAAAAAAAAAAAAAAAGGTAAGAAACACCTCATGCAATTGCAGTGCTCAAAAGACTTGTTTTTTCTTGTTTTTTCTTTATCTCCGGTTCTTCACTAAAGGTTTTCTGAAGTTGTTCTTTCGAAACAGTATATTCTGCCAGAAGCAGATCACCAGTCTATAAATACTGCACAAAGTTTAAAGGCTGTAGAGGCTAAAGAAAAGCAATATTCCCTACTGAATATATGGCTAGGGCTTAATTTAGAAATCAATGCTTGGCAGCTGAGAAATTAAAAAAAAAAAAAAAAGAACTTAACTATTCTGTGATTCTTTGATTCTGGGAGATGCGTTTCACCCTTGTATCAGGCTTCTGGGAAAATAAATTGCACACAGCTGCAGAAGGTGCACCTTTAAATAGCAGTTACTGCGGAAGTGTGTCTGAATTTTAAAGGGCTTGTAACGTTCTACTTGTCTTCAATGTGTACTTTTTTTTCCCACTCTTCTTGCAGTCTCTGAAATGGGTTTTATAATCAGTGGCCACAGGGTCCATGCTCTGGCATGGCCATTTTAGGCATTTGTGCAGATGACTCCTTCTAGTTGCACATGCCATGATCCTCTCCCTCAGCTGTTTCCCCAACAGTTTGGAAATGCTTTTGGTAAATATTGTAGTCTTCTAAATTTTTCACTGTGTGCTTGCTGGTGCTGGATACCATTATGGCAGGGAGAGACAGCATGGCACAAAGAGCTGCCACCTCTTCGGCCCAAGCTACTACCACCTCTTCGGCCCAAGCTACTACCACCTCATCTACATTAGAGATTTTTCTTTTTGTTCTAAAGATTGGGTCTTTGAGTACACTGCATGCATGCACTAATTTCCCCATTCTTTTAACAAGATTATCTTAAAGACTTCATTTGTTTTTCTTCCAATGTAGGAGTTGCTGCAGGAGTTGCTGGGAAGGGCCTGACAACGGGATGCGGAAAAAAAACACCTTTGACTATGCCCAGCAGAAGAAACCTGAGCCGGAGGATCTGCATGCTTGTCAAGGTTTGTTAAGTAGCAAATGCTCAGAGTTTTTTATGAAGAATCTTATTGATCAACTGCAAATTAATTCTGTGAATATTAGTGCCCGAATGGGTAGGTTCGTGATCCTTTAAAGCAAGTTCATGGTGCTGGGGTAGTATGTGTAGTGAAGACTAAGTTCAGTAATACCTCATTTTGATGTTGTCCTCTTATATGC